CTCTCTCTCTCTCTCTCTCTCTCTCTCACACACACACACACACACACACACACACACAAACAGCGTCACTACCACTAAGGGCAGAAGAGGAACAGACACTGTATTTTAGTACCACATGGAGTATCCACGGCAACCGCAACACACTCTCTCACGCGCACTGACACATACACACTCAGACCACAATGGACCTCACAAAAACCACAAGGAGGAACAATGAGATTTGACACAAGCTGTATGCACAAGTTTAAGAAACACACACACACACACACACACACACACACACACACACACAGGTTGCTAATAAAGTTTAATCAAGGCACTCATTATTTTTCAACGGCCATTAAACGAACTGTAATTTGAAGCAATCCTTCAACACTTTGGATCGTATGCTTATCCCAGTCTTACTAGCCTATATTAGGAAGTGTGACTACAAACTTAAAAGGAAATAAGTTCTGACAACTAGAGACACTGTTGAATCATTATTATGATGCGTATATGAGTTGGTCATGCACCCTACCTAAAGGGCTGCTGTATCTACGTATGAACGTCCAAAAATGGTCCTTTCACTACTGTCAGCAAGTTTTGCGTATAGAGAAAGATTCAGCTGGAGGAAGTGAGGCATCAGTCTCACTCACCTCCCTTGCAGAACACCAGCTACCAAACTACACCATCATAGGAGGTGTACAGAACACAGTTTGTCTTAGACAAGCAGGAAGATGGAATACTCTTCCTTGCTCTTCGCTTCCTTTCTTGATTAAGGACGACAGATGTAGTTGAGGTTTAGGTTCTTACCGGCAGTTATCTGAGCATGTGTGGGACTGGAGAAGGTAGCCGAGTTGAGTGTTGCTGATTGGCGGGTGTTGGCAGGGTGTTGATGGTGATGGTGGTGAGGAGGCGTCACCCTCATTGAGCTCCGTCTCAGCTGCTCCAGCTCCGTTAGCCTCTCGGAAAAAGCCAGCGAGCCGGGTTTGACCTCGTCCATCTTCTGACGATGACCTAGGAGAGAGAGGTGACATGACACTATCATGAATCTCAGAGGTCTGTCCATTTAGGGAGCACAAGTGCTTGTGAATCAGTGTCACCTGCTTTGGTGCAAATCAAAGTGACAACAGGTGCAATGGAGAGGCAAAATCAAGACAACCCCCCAGAGGGGAATGGTTTTGCATGTGGTGTCCACAGACAGTTGCTCTCTCCTTATCCTTCCTGACTGAGTCTTCTCTAGTTTTGTGTTCTGCTAGTGTCCTTGTCACTACTGGTAGCATGAGGCGGTACCTGCAGCCCAATCAGGTTGCACAGATAATCCAGCTCCTCCAGGATAGCCCATCTATACGTGTGGTCGCAAGACAGTTGGCTGTGTCTTCCAGCACAGTCTCAAGAGCATGGAGGAGATACCAGGAGACTGGCTGTTACACCAGGAGAGCTGGACAGGGCCGTAGAAGCGCATCAACCCAGCATCAGGACCGGTATCTGCTCCTTTGTGTGAGGAGGAACAGGAGGAGCACTGCCAGAGCCCGACAAAATGACCTCCAGCAGGCTACTGGTGTGCATGTTTCTGACCACACTGTCCGACTCCATGAGGGTGGCATGAGGGCCAAACATCCTCTAGTGGGACCTATGCTCACAGCCCAGCACCGTGCAGCTTGATTGGCATTCGCCAGAGAACACCAGAGCTGGCAGGTCCGCCACTTGCACCCCGTTCTCTTCACAGATGAGAGCAGGTTCACACTAATTACATGTGATAGGCGTAGAAGATCAGGACACGCCATGGTGGACGTTATGCTGGCTGTAACATCATCCAGCATGACCGGTTTGGTGGTGGGTCAGTGATGGTCTGAGGAGGCAGATCCTTGGAGGGTCGCACAGACCTCCATGTCAGAGCCAACGGTACCCTGACTGCTGTTAGGGACCGGGATGAAATCCTCAGAGCGACTGTCTGACCTGATGCTGGTGCAGAGGGCCCTGGGTTCCTCCTGGTGCAGCGGGCCCTGGGTTCCTCCTGGTGCAGGACAATGCCCGGCCTCATGTGACCAGAGTGTGTCAGCAGTTCCTGGATGACGAAGGCATTGATGCCATTGACTGGCCCTCTTGTTCCTCTGACCTAAATCCAGTTGAGCACCTTTGGGGCGTTATGTATCGGTGCGTCTGACGCCACCAAGTACCTTTGAATCCTGCCCTCAGCTGGTTGATGATTTTGGTTTCCACTGACTGTTATTACGCTATTTTGTTCTCAACAAATTGTGCAACATACATCAGTAAAGATTTTCAACTTGAATAATTGTTCATCAAGATCTGACATGCGATAAAGGGTTCCCTTATTTTTTTCAGCAGTATATATATTGCCCCCTTGCACCTGCTCTCTGCAGTTTCAATTGAAAGTGAACACAAAGATGTATAGAGGTGATTTGTCAGCTGAATCTTGTAATTTGATTACATAATCCAAGGATTACAGTAACAGTTACAGCCCCACACAGGCTATAACAATGTCACAACACTGTTAACACTCTGTCTGCTACTGCGCTCGGGAATCTGACGGTGGGCGCCACATAGGGGTCTGGCTGTCTCTCTGAGTGTGTGTGTGTGTGTGTGTGTGTGTGTCAGTGTGTGTGTGCAGTGGTCTGTCACGCTGTCTGTGGTGTTGGCTGCACTTCAAAGCACTGAGACTGAGCTCCAGTTACAGGCACTTCCTCCCAGTGGAGGAAGTGTGCGCATGTGTGTTTGTGTGTGTGGGCGAGTTAGAGACGAGTGATGGTTATTCACAGCTGAGCGGAGCTGGCAGGAGTCTTCCTCTCTGTCACCTCACGTCTTTTCTGACCAGTGCCACTCAGCCCAGTTCCATTTAACATGAATCATAATTATAGGACAAACTGTGTATTAGTGCATATTAACTGTCTTTCTCTTTTGCTTGCCGTCATCTGCCTTTAGAAATCCTTATGTTTCATCAGAGTGTGAGAGAGGAACTCAGTGTTGCATCAGGTTCCTTATTGACTCACTCAACTGAGAGTTTGCTGGAGGGATCAGAAACATGTCTTCACTTAGATTCTAGTTGACTACAATACAAATTTAAGTACGACTGTAGATAGCAAATTGAGCTCACATGTTCATAAAGTATAGTACGATTGTTACTTTTTTAGAGATATTTTTTGGAGCTTTTTGCCTCCAAAAAACATTCGAGTCCGGCCTGCGACCCTTTGCTGTGTGTCAGTCCCCACTCTCTCTCTCTGTCTCCCCATTTCACACACTGTCCTGTCCATTAAAGACAAAAAGCCTACAAAAATAATCTTTAAAAAAAAAGTCCACCGGTTAGGGAGACTGGGGTTGGTTGTAACAAAGGGATAGTTGTAACACTCTCAGTTTGGCCAATTAGAAATGAGCTATGGTGACATCAACATAGTCCATGCCCATTTACAATTGGAGCTCACTGGTGAAGCCGCATGTCTCTGAGTCCAAGTTTGTCTGTTCTAGAGCCAAAAAACAGTTCTTCAGGTGAGACACCAAACATTTTCATCACATTTGTTTTTTGCATTGTGTCCATTGTGTTCTATGGACAATTGTTTCACTTACATAGGCTCAAGTAGTAGTTTCTCTAGTTTAATTTGATGTGTTTCATTAGCGCTAGCTTTGAAGCTAAATGCTAAAAACGGTTAGCTCTTTCATGGCTGCTAGGCATGGGGAGGGTTGTAACTAAGGATAGACCGATACATCGGCCGGCCGATATATCGGGCCGATATTTGAGTTTTTTACTTGTATTGGCATCGGCCGATACGCGGGTGGGTTCGCGGATTTATTTTTCCCTGGCACTTTTTTTCAATTGAAAGTATGTGGTTAAGTTGAACAAAGCTGTTGAATCCTACTGTGTACAGTAGTTGTTGTTTTATTTATGCTTCAGCTTAAATATTTGTTTATTTTATAAAGACATTACTGGAAGATTTAAGAGCACTGAACTCTTTTTTTATTTGAATGTATAATAATAATAATAATAATAATAATAATAATAATATTCTACCTGTTCTACCTCAACTTTCCATCTTGTTTTAGTATTTTTTACTGTTCAATAAATGTTTCTTATTTTAAACCTGAGACCTGTAATATTTGTTATCATTGTGTCATTTTTTTTGATGTAAATTGAGGGAGCAAAAGCAGTATCGGCCCCAAATATCGGCTCAAGAAAATCGGCAGTCCATAATCGGTCATCGGCTAAGGGTGATGGAAAAAAATCGGCATCGGCCCTAAAAAATCCATATCGGTCTAACTGTTAAAATGCTATTCAAACGTCAACCTCATTCAGGCTACAACGCGCACACACACACACACACACACACACACACACACAGGTTAATATTTTACTATTCTTGATTTTATTTATTTTATGTTGTTATAATACATTTCTATTTATTTTAATATTATAATTATTGTATTCTTACAAGTTTATTGTTCCTTCTTTATTATTCATTAAAGTGCTTGAATACATTTAGCCTATTGTGAATCTTTTTTAAGCACAATAATTTAATTGTTACATCCATCCCCAGCTAGTGTTACAACTCACCCCGGTACTGGGGTACGTTGTAACAATATACGTCTTTGTATTTGACATTAATTTCCATAATCTGTGATGGTGTAGTATAGTGTGTGTTATTTATAGCAGACAAATATGGCTACCATGTATCAAAATTTAAGAGCTCTAACAAAAAAACCCACTGAGTTACACTTGCTCAAACAAAAAGTGTTACAGTCATCCCCGGTCTCCCCTACATATAGCTAGGCCCAAATAAACTAATATACCATAGGACTTAAAAAATAGCCCTGGCATTTATTTGTTTCAATCACTGACCTCAACCGGTGTATATTTGTGTATATGTATATGTTACTATGTTACAGACAAATGAAATGTGATTACAGTAACATTGTTACATTGTACTAAACTTTTTTTTAGGTTTAGTGAAGCAATTGACCCCTTACACAGACCTAAATCCTTATTTATTGGGGGCTCATGCGGGATAGAACATCCATGAGGTGAAGTTTTTGTGAGAATCTCGTGGCCTTTTTGTGTGGACGTCATCTCTTTTGTTAAATTATTTGTGGTTGTTGCTCTGTGTTTAGTTGAAACTTTAGATTTGAGCACCCTGACTAGGTGGTCACCGTGCAGGTTTTAAGATCTTGCCACTTTTTAATTGTTGGTGGTAATCCTGAGTGGGGGCACGCTTCAGGATTTTACAGTTGGATACTTCTTTGGTCTTCTGTGACGCACTGAGTTCAGCGTTTATAGCCGTCTTGTTTGATCCAAATTTGACCTGAGGTAACACTTTATCAGCCGTAGTCCCATCTGTTGTGACTTAATAACACCAAATGCTGCATATTGAAGATGTGTTTGCATGTAGTGCTGGGTGCTCTGAGCACCATTGTTCCAGATTTCAGTGCATCTGGTTTCGTCTACATGCTCAGGTCAACATCGACCTCTGAGTCTTAGTTCTAAATAGTCAACCTATTTATTCATTGTTTTAAGCGTAGGGGTGTTAAAGCTGTGTGTGTGTGTTCTCTGCTGCTGTCCCTTTTCCCTGCCTTGCAGACCTGCCCAGGTGTGCTGCATTACCTAACGAGGTGCAGTGCACCTGGCGTGGAGGAGGTGTTAAAGAGCTCCTGTGGCAGCAGCAGAGGAGAGAGGCCTCTGGTGTGGGGACTGCTGGTCCTGTTTGCTTGTTTTACTTGTCATAAATCCCATGGATGTGAGTGTTTTAAAGGTGTTGCCGTGTGGCAGCATACTGACAATGCTAAGATGCTTCACCAGGTTTAATTTAGTCTTGCAGAATTTTGTGACATCAACCCACATGTGTGTTTTTTTAAAGCAACACAAAATGTGTGCAGGGAGTGCATAGAGAATTCGATGGGACTAAAAACGGAACCCTGTGGGACTCCACGTGTTATTATCTGCTGAGGAGGGGAAAAAATCACTCACGCCGTGGCTCTCTGGGCCCATCAACTGTGATTTTAATGGCTCTCTGGTATGTGGCCACCTGAGGAGGGTTGGTGAACACTGTGATGGTGAGAGTGAAGCTCTTCCCTGTGAAAGAAAAGGGAAGGAAGGAAGCGGGAGCAAAGGGCAGACAGAAGAGAACAGGAAATAGAATGGAAAAGAAAAATGTGTTAATTAATATTAGGATCTTTTCATTATCTTTATCTTGATTATGCTAGATTACATTGATTTTGCATTAATTAAGGTGTGCCAATATACTATTTTAAGAAACACTTAAAACAAATTGCATGTTTTATTTGACCATGACATAATCCAAAAAATATCAAGTGTCTGTACCACACATATATGGGACTATTCATGTGTGTGTGTGTGGTGTGTGGAAGTGAGTGTGGAAGTACCACCCACTCACCACATGTGCAGACCACCACTGTTATTGAATGCCAGGGTCAGAGTAAAGTTACAGCGTGCAGACAGTCAGACACACACACACACACACACACACACGCGGGTGTTACTCTCACTTATGTGCCTGTTTACTCTCTCTTAACATTTCCCAATGATTACACGTTAAAGTGACATAGCACATTCGGAAAAAGCCGTCACAACATTTCCAAAGATAAATATAGACCAGAGCCACATGATTTGCATTCACACACACACGGTGGATTTGTTATCAAACGGACAACACAGAGCATTTAGCCTCAAACTGTGGGAGCTTGTGCTGTGTATAGAGTGTGGGCGTCATATCAAGGCAGCAGGGATGACGCTGGAACATCTAATAATCACACAGATGGAATATTGATATCGGACAATCCTTTAAAAACCTTTGAATATTGGCACATGACACACACGACGTTGATTTGAAATTAAAATGAAGTTTAACCAAGCAAGTTTGCTGACCACTGATTTGACCACTAGGGGGGGTGTTATCACTTCAAATGTTCTCTCCAGCGTCCACATCTACACAGCATACACATTGTTTACTCTCCATCCTGCTCTATACACAGTGTATTCCGTGTGGTATAAATAGTATACAGTGTAGAGGAACATGAAGTGTGTTTTCGCGCAGGTTGTTTACAGAGAGAACTTAGAGTAAGATTTTGGCTGATAGAGACACAGGAGGGAGGGAGGGGGGAGAACAGCTGAAGTCTTTGTGTCTGTTGTGTCTATCAGCCAGCCGGTGGCATCACTCTCTCTCTCTCACACACACACACACACACACACACACACATGGAATCACAAATGTACGTGTGTGTGTGTATGTCTTGACAACAGTGTTTTCCGTGACTGTCTCTCTAATCGCCCTTATGTCTCTCACTGTCTGTAGATAACTTAAGAGGTGTGTGTGTTGCTCAGTTAGTGTCAATCAGATGGAATTTGTTATGCACACTATTTTCAAAACAGCAATGTGTGTGTGTGTGTGTGTGTGTGTGTTTTACCGGAATAATAAAGTGGTGTGTGTGTGTGTGTGTGTGTGTGTGTGTGTGTGTTTTACCGGAATAATAAAGTGGTGTGTGTGTGTGTGTGTGTGTGTGTGTGTGTGTTTTACCGGAATAATAAAGTGGTGTGTGTGTGTGTGTTCACAGAGTGTGATACTGTGAAAGAGAAAAATGGCAGTCCTGTTTAAAAGAGGAACTAAAAGCGAGATTTAAAACTGGTTGTACGTGTACACACACAAACACACACACAAAAACACAGTCATATCTGGTGGTAGTAGGCCGAACCATGATATGAAACCAACACACAAGCCATGACAGATGTTGCATCATTATTTCTTTTACCTCTACGGTAGCGCTGCCGTGTTTTATTGCACCCACACTCACTGTTTAACTGTTTGAAGCTGACGGATGTCGCAGCTCCTGTTTGGCAGAGGCCCGTTTCATCCGATTCTCAACATGCAAATTCATGTTTTGTTGACCTCGTGCAAATGCATCCATGTTACACACCAAGATAAACTCAGATTCACCAGGCATTCACACTGAAATGCCACTGCATCGAAAAAAGAAAACGGCATTGGTGGGACATGTGCTGATGACATGATGAAATGCGATCCTGGAAGGTTGGTTCGGGTAACAGCTCCAGGAGTTTGAAGGTTAATCAGACAGTTTTATCCGTCGGATGTGGGAGCCCTTTGCTAATAACAGGCCTACAGTTTTTTTATTAATTTATTTATTGCTGTTGTCGGCCTCTGTCGCCATTTTAGAAAAACTCCACTTTCAAGTTTGAGAAATGCGTGGCATATTTTGGACGGACGGCTACAAAAAGCAAAATGCCGAAGTGAAAAAGATTCATCGCCATCACTAAATCAGCAGTGGGTGCGGTTACATGATGGCTTCTCATTCGGAATGAAATAAATCTGAATGAAATCATTCGGAATTAAAGTTTTCCAGGTGGTTTACATGGGAAATATTCATTCCGAATGAGGGTTTTTACACCCAAGGTTTGGGGCAGGGAAGGTTTCTGATTGGATAGGGGGCGGGGCGGATGTTACGTGTTTACCGGAAGAAAACACTGTAGTCCTCGCTCCGGATGACAAGATGCTTGACGACGGCGTTCTTAGTGCCTTTTTCGGGCTTGTTTTGCTTCTATTCTTGAAGCAGCAGTACGACAACAACCTTGTTCTGCTAATGCTTCATCTATTGAGGAGAAGGAGGGAGGTAGAAGGTCAAAGAAGGGAGATAGAAGACTGTGCTGTGGTGAATGGAAACCGGTGAGTGCAATGAGTCCGACGTCATCGTGCCAGAAGGGCAAGGAAATGAGCATGCGCAGGAAGACCAGAATGAACTTAAAGAGGAATGAGTGTATACAAGTGCGAGAACTTCTTTCATTGGGAATTAGAAACGGAATATTCCAGCCCCTTACATCGGATTGAATTTTCAATCACATTGGCCATTTTCATTCTGAATTAGATGTTTACAAGATCACTTTTAATAGGGAGGAACTTTCATTCTGAATGAAAAGGGAATTAAACTGTCCGTGTAAACGCACTCACTGTCTTTTGAAATCACTAATGCATCATACATTCCTAAGACGTGGCTGAATCACCTTAAGTGACCTTTAAAAAAGTCATCACAATGAGTAAGGTTATTTTTTTTACACATTCCAACACAGCTCTAAATGTTTTCTATTAAAAGTGTAATCATGGAAATGCACACTACACAGATATGATTGTAGCTGACTACAAAAAAGTCACGTGACTCTGAAAATATTGCTTCCACTTGCTCAAAGTATAGCTACAAAAAAAATTAGAGTACCAAAATCTAACCCTCAGTTCCTAGACGGTTATAATTTTGGAAAAGGATTTAGCAAAACCAACCAGTTTCTTTAGTAAAAAAATCACGTGAGCAGTGGCCGTGTTGCTCTGGGTTGTAACTAAGTGCATCGGCAAAACAGAAAACACTGGCTGATGATGACTAAGTTTGAGAACTGTAACCTTTGACACTGACTCGCACACACACCCACACACACACAGTCACACACAGAAAAACCACTAGTCAAACCACTAAACCACTCATTGCTGTCGGCGGCTAAACTAACCACTTCCTACCCAGACTGTTGGGGACGCTCCACTCAACAATGTGGCTTGTTATCATACACTGAACAACACAGGGACCTATATATATAAATATATAATTTAAATTGTAGAGAAGACATATGAATCCCAAAGCGCTATTTGTTGGTGTCCTGCGTTAACTCTGATCCAGCTGTTAATTTCAAAGGCAACAGTTTTTTTTATTATCTTACACTCGTCCTCAGATGGAGTGATGCCGGGAAAAGGAGCCTCATTGTACTCTGCGCAGCTGAATTTGCATGAAAACAAATTTCTACTCCTCAAATTTCTCCATTCAATATGTGTCCCCGACGCGTGAATTATTAATGTGCTCATTTTTCAACTGCAGGACTTTGGAATCTGTCAAATATTGACAGTTATTCCCATATTTCCATTCAGCTGGGGAGTACTTGTCATTCTCGTGTGTGTGTGTGTGTGTGTGTGTGTGTGTGTTAGTGGGGCTTGTGTACACAGGCCCAGTGTTTTAAATAGATAAGTTGGGACATTTGCCTGTGACTGATTTAGTGTAACTGTGGTGTAGTGTGTCCGTTAAAGAGAGAGGGGAGACGCAGCGAGGTAGACGTTGAATGGGGTGTTACGAGGAAGTTGTGAATGCTGTTTTTATTCACGTGTACTTCCCCTAATTTATCCCTGCTGTGTCGTGTACTCACGCAAAACACACTTTGAGCCTCAACCGATCTGAAGCTTCTCTCACCGAAGCTTATATTTCTGCCATCTTTTAAAACAGACAAAAATCTGCATTCATACTTTCGTTGTTTTTGCATTTGTGTGTTTTCATTTGTGCATTTTTTCTGGTTTAGCGTCTCTGCACTGGCTCCCTGTGAAATCCAGTATTGAAATCCCTCTCCTAACTTACAAAGCTCTAAATGGTCAGGCTCTATCATATCTTAGAGAGCTCATGGTGCCATTTTATCCCACCAGAACACTGCACTCTGAGAATGCAGGGTTAGTCGTGGTTCCTAGAGTCTCCAAAAGTAGATCAGGGCTGGCTGGCTCTTATAGTTAGGGCCGGCTCTTATAGTTAGGGCCAGCTCTTATAGTTAGGGCCGGCTCTTATAGTTAGGGCTGGCTCTTATAGTTAGGGCTGGCTCAGGCTTTCCTTGGACCAGCCCTGGTTAGGCTGACTTAGGGGGTGAACACACAGAAATGAGACGCTAGAGACACGGACGCTTGAAACGCTCGAAGCACTTATTCAATGCGCGCTGGCTACTGTTGTCTGAAGCTCAAAAAGTTGAAAATATTTTAACTTTTCAGCATCTACGCGCATCTAAAAAGAAGTGTCTACAAAAATGCGCATCTAAAAAGACGCTTGAATGCCGGTCAGACATGCCGTATCATAGGAAAACAATGGTTTTACTGGCGTCGCGTTTCTAGCGTTTCATCTCGGTGTGATCGCTTCCTTAGGCCTAGTATGCTGGGGGACTTCCTATGATATGCCGAGCACCTTCTCTCCTTCTCTCTTTCTCTCTTTCTCTCTCTCTTCATTTGCTAACATGTCACATGCATGTCACTAACTCGGCTTCTTCTCTGGACCCTTTGTGCTCCACTGTCTCGCAGATTCCCTGAGATCATGGCTATGCCTGAGCCGTGGTTCTACCATTTTTTTTCCCCATTGAAGATTTTTGGGGGGAGTTAGCGCTCTGAGGCAAGTTGTGATTTGTGATACTGGGCTTTATGAATAAAATTAAAACTGAATTGAAACTGCCGTTTAAATGTGTGTGTGTGTGTGTGTGTGTGTGTATATACCTCTTCCGCTGCGGCCAACAAAGCGCAGGTCGTTGAACCTGGCCACTTGGTTCTTGATGGCGGCCGTGGCGTTGCGAAGCTCAGCCGAGTAGTTCTCATCGTTTCCCGCCATCACTGTTACCAGGGTGCCGTCAGGGATGTCGCCCAGGGCAACCACCTGGTGATATGAAAAACAATAATGTAGATGTTGATTGTTTTTTTTTTATTATTATGAGCGTTGGGACTTTAGTGTTTAGTGGCCCTTGGGTGACTTGAGCTCTGAAACGTAACGTAAAAGATGCAAATTATGAAAAAATCAACTCTCCCAAACACATGTGTAAAACATAAACGTGTGACTAGAGATTAGAGACTCTCCTGCTCCACAGCTCCACACATATACAGCCACGGAGGCTTATTTCCATATTAACGCTAATCACACCAAACCATCAGTGTGCAAATGACCATTGCAGATACTATTCTACGGAAGGTTTCTCTTTTAGCCTTGAGCTCTTTAAGCAAGTAACCACAGCCCGTGGTGAGTGGGACACTTTGGGATTGACCTCGTGAAATCATTTAAACTTTGCTCCTCGACAAAAGCATCTGTTTCCATGGGATAGAACTGGTCTAAGGTCTAAGGCTGGTCTAATAGCTGATGTTTCAATAATCGGTCCGGCCCTGTGGTGAAATGTGACTGGATAAAAATATTCCGTAAGTGGTGACTCACTGGATTTGAAAAATACTGGTGTCAGCTTGCTAATACATTCATGAACTGGGGGAGAGAGAAAGACACACACACACACACACACACACACACACACACACAGAGGCAGACAAAAGACTGGCAGTAATGGGGCATGAAACTAGCCCAGCAGAATAAACAAAACAAAGGAAACAATTATGAAGCTCTCAGGCCAGTGTGTGTGTGTGTGTGTGTTAAGGATGCCTTTGGTGTATACACACACATTGTACCTGTGTGTGCACCTACAATACAGTGTGTGTGTGTGTTGTCACATACGCTACATATGCACCAGTGCATATTCTAGTGTTCATATACAGTACATGTGGGTCTCTGTATATGTGTGTGTGCACACATCGTAACAGTCATCCATTATCAGTAAGAGGCAGTGACATCCGCTCATGACACTCCATAATGATGCACAGTGCGCCAAACTCTTTCTCTCTCTCACACACACATATATACACACACATATACACACATAGCACGCGCGCATGTGTGAACACTAATGCATAAAACTCAATAAATCAATCAGTGGCGTGTTCTGTGGCTAAAAGCTGCTTTTCCACAAATGCATTTTGCCTCAAAGTGCAGGAAAGCCGTCCACGTCCACACACATGAGGGAATACAGTAAGAAATGCAAGAAAATTAGCCCATCATGCTGTGAAAACAGACGATGGAGACATCAAATTGTTCTTTTTTCTTGTCGTAAAAGAAGCTCAATCCCGGTAAAATGGCCAGCCTTCATAAAATGTTTAATAGCATATTCAAACAAAAATCTGTATTAGCTGATCGGACTTTTCATTGCTGCCAAATCCAAATTTGGTGATTTTGCCTTTGGGGGATTTTGGATTTTTTACAGGACAGCGTTTTTGTTTGGAGACAAATTTTTAATCAGTGAAATTAAGGCTAAGTAAAAAATAATTAACAAATTTTCATCAACTCATTTTACTCACTTTGCACCATTAACTGACATTAAAAATAATTATACATAAATATCACTATTTAAATGTCATTTATAATTAAAAAATGCCAAAGACTGATTCTGAAATGTGAGGATTTGCTGCTTTCTTTATTTTATATCTTTGTCCATTGTGAGTTTTTTGATTGCAATACAGGAAGTTAAAAATCCCAGCTTGGGCTTTAAAATATTTCCAGACCAAAAAAGATGCAATGAAAGAGTAGAAAAGCAGAAAATTATAATGTAATCTGAGTATTTTTTTGGCTATATCGCTGTCGATTTAAATTTTTTTTTTGTGAAGTAGTATATAAATGACATGTATGGTTATCGTCCTGCAATTTCAGGTTGATTCCCCACAGCCTCGAGCCAAAGTAGTGATGCTGCGGTGTAAAATACAAGTCAGAGTTGTGCATGAAAAAATGCAGCAGTGATGTCAGCAAAATGTGCTTGTCTTTCACTGTGTACATAATACAAATGAAATCATTTTTTGGAGCAGATACACACCTTGAAAGCAATGGGCAAGGTCTTGTTACACCTCCAGTGTGTGGGCAGCACCGAGCAGAGGAAATTGGGACTGTCCGTCTTCACCAGCTCACCTGGGTGGTCTGAGATCACCTGTGAAACATCACAGTCACTGACCTGAACTCATTCAGTTCATTAAAACAAATTCAAGGGCTGACATATTTAATTGCATGTCACTGTACCTCCACCATGCCGCGGTCGGCCATGCGCAGTTTGCCCACCAGAGCCGCCCCACCTCCGGCCTCCTGGGCGCCCAGAGGCAGAGCCTCGGCCATCTTCCCCCCTGAGGCCAGGGTAGTTGAAGGTGGGGTGTAACGCCGGCCAGGGGCTGGGTCTGAGAGGAAAAAGACAAAGTCAGTTAAGTGAAATTTCCTTTGATGCTTGTCTAAAGGAGGTGAAGCTTAAAGAGCTGCAGTTAATCAGTGCTGCTTCCATATGTGAATATTTTCTGCTTGGACAAAACAAGACGTTCAAATGTGAGAGGACAGATTTCAACCCATGTAACACAATGAAGACAGGAATCAGAAGGAACCTGATAAGCAGCTGTCTGTGCGTCTGTCTGCAGTGTCAGTGGCTCTGCTGGCTTGTCAGTCAGCCAAGCTACAATTGAAGCCGCATGCTGTGGGTTTGGAGTTTCGCTTACAGTTAAAAACCTTCCCACTGATGCTATATTGTGCTGTGTGTATTGTGCTGAGAGCTCAGTGAAGGGGCAGTGTGTGGTTTGAACACAGGTGTCAACAGAGACACGTGAAAATATGAGTGTGACTCAATGTGTTCAATAATCATACCTTGTTTGTTCCCTGATTTTAGCAGCTGGTGATGGCTTGGGTGTGTTTATGGCTGATTTATTGTTTTGCGTTCCCAATATCACAGGATGTTGGGTCATGAAATGAACTTTATGCAACACTTTTCTTAAAGCAGTGTCAAATTCTCTTGAAATTATTTCAACGTTATCATTAAATTTGAAAGATGCAAAATTATTATACAGAAATTTCCTGGACTTTCAAACCAGTTTAGATTTTTTAAAAGTCTATTATCAGTCCTGCAAATCTGCTGTGACTCCAGGTGCACACTCACATATTAAACTTGCTCTATTATGGGACAGATTTTTGCTTATAATATTTTTACTGCGCCACACATGTGCTTTAAGCATCACTGAGCCTGCCAGTGTGCGTCTGTGGTTTATTTACATCAATAGAGGAAGTTACAGACTGAAAAAGAGTTTGCAAAGCAGACAAGAACATCACAGCTGCTCTGGGATCAAATCTGAAACAAACAGTGAGAGGGTTTCTTTTTCGGTTTTAGGAAAACTTAAATCCATCATGGATAATGACGCAGAGGAGAGGAGGGAATTTGCTGCATGACTTTATATTATTCTCCTTCCTTTACCCTACAGAGCATGCTGCCGGAGGTGAAGCTGTTGTGCACACACACACACTCTTATTATATATTTGAAGAGAAACATCGTGGAGAAATGACTTGTACCGTATTTCGCGTCCCACAGAAACACCATTTGTGCGCCACAGTGCGTCCACAGACACCCAACTTCCCCGATCCGCAATATAAACCTCCCGGTTGCGTCCTGTTTACGGCACAAGCAGCAGACTCGTGTGTGGGTATTTGTCTATAGCTTCTTGACTTCTTATCTGCCCATAAAAAAAAAAGATGTCGTCCAGGTGCGCCGGCGGATTTCAGCCTTCGTGCGTAAAAGCCAAACGTCCAAAGTAGGTTTCCAACACTTATGCGGCGATCAAAAGTCACTCTGAGAAAGTCTTCAAAGCTCCTTAATTGTGTCTCCTCGCAGATGAAATGAAGCCTCCGCGCGTTTGTCATCAAAAGTGGAAGGAAAGTGGCAAAACACGGAGGAAAGCCGTGCGTAAATCTGACCTACTGTTCTGACTGTAACGGCCTACACTGAGTGCACCGTTACAAACAAGCCGCTCCGTCTCTCTGCGCCCCGGTTAAGTCTCTCCCCTTTCCCCGCTACATGAATAGAGCTCACGGCACACAGCGCCAGGCTTTTACCGGCAGACCTCTGGATTTGCATGTCACTCGGTGCGGGAGCTGCTCTCAGCCAATGGAGAGACTCGCCGCCTGCTGTCACTGGAGGCGTATTAACCAATCAGTGGAATATCCGTCCGAGGGGAGGCGGGGTTTAGGGGAGAAGGAGATCAGGGCAAAGCAGAGCAGCACTTCCTCTTGAGCTGGAGCAGCACCACAAACTGACACTATGGTCAGCGTGGTGAGATGACGCAGGGGTAGGTGTTAAATCTATGGCTGTATAATAACTGAACATGGATAAGTGAGATAGGTCTGCAGAAACAAACAAACAAACACACAAACAAACAAAGTAAATTTTGTCGCTGTGACTGGTAAAAAAAAAAAACACACAGGCTGTCAGTACCGGATATGGACGATAGGGAGCAGTAGGTGATCTAATGAACGACTGCCGCACCACACACACACACACGCACCATGGAGAAGGCAAGTCTTTAAATGAGACTTTCATACGGTGTTAAAGTGAAGCATGACTTGAAACAACTCCTGTTGTCCAATTAGTTTTATTTATTTTACTGGTTTTAGACAGTCAGTCTAGTATTCAAAACCTTGTTAAAAAATATATTTTTCAGTGTGACGATTCAAATGATGATAATTTAGGAGAGCAGGATCCAATAGCTTTGAAAATTGTAAATATTTTTTTATGCAATGGATTAATTTTCAGTAATCGTATTCATATTCATGCAGAGGCAGCAACTGTGGTCCACAACATATTGATTTTAATTTTGTCAGGATGTGATTTTATGGGGAAAAAAAAATATGATATTTAATTGCTAATAAGCAAAACGTAATGTAAAATGACAGGGAATAGTGAAAGCAAATAACAAATAAAAACACACAAACCAAAAAAAATAATGCAAATAAATAGATGAAATATA